ATAATAATAATAATAATAATAATAATAATAATAATAATAATAATAATAATAATAATAATAATATAATAATAATAATAAAAACAATAATAATAATAATAATAATAATAATAATAATAAATGTATATACTTTTGATATTAATCACACCTTCTAAATTCCACTTAACGATAATTAATCTCGTCATTAATTCATTTAAAAAAAATAAATACATTCATTCATTTTTTTGCCGTGCTGAAATTGATGATTGGCTGGCTAATTATAAGATGATGAAATGCTATTAATTTTACATATGTAGAATTTTTAATGTGTTTTTTGTGAGAGATATGTAAATTTTCTATTCTCATAATTTATATTTTTTTTTCTACGAATACAAACTCGCCTAGATCTTGCATACTATTTCGTGTACTGAGACTAACGCCATTGACGCTCGATGATTTTTTAATCGGTCGTTCGAATGCCGTAGAGAATTCATTTACATCGACATACTTTCGTGGTGTTGGCGGTATTGTTTTTATTGGGGAATTTGATGACAATTTCGATGTGATGGTGCTCATGGTAGTGGCGTTGGTGATTGAGGATAGAGAATTGGTTCTTTTGTTGATGACAGTAGTAGTAACAGACGTGTTGTTATTGTGTAAAGTATTGCAAATTGTATTGTGATTACAATTTGAATCATGAATACCATCAAGACATAATGTCATTTTTGTGGTATTATCAATGTCGTGACTGCGTATATCCATTGCGGGGCTTGTATCTGTCTGAGCTTCCATTAATAATTCTTCAATTGTGTTTTTATTACTTCCCCCTAAAGAATTATCGCTATCCATTTGCGCTTCTCTTAAGAGGTCCGCAATGTCACTATCATGATCGAATTCATTTATCACTGGTGTTACATCGTTTTGCCGTGCTAATTCAACCCATTCTTGTAAATGACTATCAAAAAGTTCTCTAACAGCCAGATTTGGTTCATATTGTTCTGTTTCTCGCCATATCAAAGCCTTTTCTTTATTTTCTTGGTGGATTTCGTAATCATCATCATCACTTAACGACGAATTTTCACTATTAGGACTTTGAGATCTTCCTCCCGATGTTGATAATGTAGATGTAGAGTCAGTTGAAGATTTTCTTTGTTGTCGTATCCCCCCACCGACTAGCCTATTATTATCCGCAGGCGTTTTTACCATTAAAAATACCCGTGAATCATCGATTTTTTTCATTTGGTGAAGTAATTCAGATTGAGGAGAATCGGTTTCATTATTGCCGTCACCATCTTCTCCTGTCACTACCATTTCTTCTATGTCCCATTTATCGTCTTTATCTTCTTGTCGAAGGATTTTTGATTTCTTTTGTTCACATTTTGTTTCTTGTTCATCTAGTGAATCACGATGATTTTGATGCAGCTGCTGTTGTCTTTTTCTCTTTTTTTCCAAGACTAAAGATCGCCATGTACGCCAAACTTTTTCGACTATCTTACGCTGTCTTCTCTTCACAAATAAACTCACAAGATAATATTCTTTTGGAAATCCGCCGACTTGATAAGAATGATGAGCCGGAGGAATATGCATTCCATGAGGCACAATAAATTCTGCACCGCTGGGCGTAGATAACAATGGAATTGATAAATCATCCTTTGGGAAATAATATTCTGCCCATAGCGTAATCATTCTAGCTTCGGTGTCAGGACGCAGGACCATTTTCTTCCATGAACTTTGATTTATAGTTCCATCACTATGATAGTGAATCTCATGTTTTCGCGGTCGTTGATACCCTGCATTTCGAAACCATTGTTTTCGTTCTCTTACCCATCCCCATATACTTGTGGTTCTTTCGCGTAGACGAAGACAATCGCGTTCACATTCCGAATTACATAGAAAATCACCAAACGGAGAATTTCCTGCTCCTGCACGTGCGAGACACAACAAAAAGAAATCATTGTACTCGAACGCCGCGGGAAACTGTTGTACTAGATGGTGGACACATGTGAGAAACAGGAGGAAAACGGGCGCAGGTGTACTTTGTACTTGTGCTGGTTGTACATTGAAACTAGACGATGGGTATTTATCTGAATTATGTTTTCGTGAGTCGCTACTTAACAAAGTGCTTGGGAGGTCACCACGCGCTCGAAACGGATGCCCAAACGCAACCCATTCTTTTTCGATTAAAACTTGCATCCCCTAAGTTATGCAAATATTTCAATCATTAGTGTTATTTTAGAAATACAAAACATAGGGTTAGATTATGATACCTTTATTGTACGATAATATGGATCCAACATTATCTGAGCTAACGACACTAATTGAGTTGTTCTATTAAACAAATAGGAACATAAATATGGCATTTTTCAGAACTTAAAAAGAAATACCAAAAAATAAATACCTATCCCAGCCGTCTGTACAATGCTATTTGATCGAGTGCGAGTTTTGCAATTAATATTTAATAGCTACTAATTAATAAACTTAGTACAAGATAAATGGCGACTTACAACTAATACACTCGCGTCATCATCAACAATCTTCCCAACAACTCCATCACGTCCTCCAGCAGCTTTTAATAAATCTGCAACGTGACTAAGCCATAAGGTCGATTCTAATACAGAATACCAATTGGACGAAGTCGAACTTGCAGAGATTGCACGTAATAACGAATCGTGTGAAGAGGAAATTGTGTGAATATTAGAGAGACCGAGAAAATTTAAAGATGTATTTGTTGGATAGTTTTCTGTCGAAATGAAGAAACATCATCAGTCAAATTAAATAAAAGTGAATGAGGAGCATTAATTATATGATTTACCTGCATTTTCATAACCACCACCGCCACATCCATTTGAAAAAGCAGATGCATACCCTCTTGCGTCCAAAATACATATCTTCGTAGAGACTTTTGTATTATATTGTGCCCCTGACATGTTTGAAGTTCGACTGTAAGGTACAAAGCTGTTTTTCATCCTTCGACTATTTCCTTTAGATGCAGCAATAATATTGTGTTGTTCATCATTTACAGCTCTGAGAACTTCACGAATTAATAATTCGTCTTCAAATCCACGTGTTCCAAGAAAACCTGTCATTGGTTGTCCACTACGCATTAATACATGAAGTCCTTTTTTCCAACATATAACTGGAAAACGACCACGCGAACGAAATCGTGCGAGATTACGAAAGAACATCGAAGTTGGTTGCGATGCTACTGAAATTGGAGGGTTTTCTGAAGAATCCGAATCAGTTGAAGAAGCAGCTTTTAAAATTTTTGAAGGTAATATGAAATCTTGAGGGTAAGTTGGTGATAATGTAAAGTCATCATTGACTGATGCGATACACCTAAATTATGAAGATATGCATTTAATGAAGTATGTAATTTAATAATAATTAATTATATAGAGAAGAAAAATTTATAATTACCAAGAATCAGGATTCATTTGCATACGCTCAAATTCTTTTTGGATACGATAGCCCTTTGACCACCCAAGTATTTGCATCGTTTTATATACCTTTTCATCAATCCCTTTTGATTCAACTTCATTGTCAGTGTCATCCGAACTACTATTATCTCCAAATAGATCATCGAAGATTTGTTCTTCTAAAGTCAGTTTATGACTTTTTGACTCTTTTGTCATTATATTTTTAACCTCGGTTACTTTATTGGAATTCAGTTGGAACACCTTCTCGCCCATCCTAAACGCAAACACGTTCTCCACACTGGTTGGCTGCGCGAACTTTTTCAAGATAGTGAGAAAATCTTCACATAATGATATAGCCGTGGTTCGAATATTTATGAAATTACCAGAAGTAGTTGAAGGTTTCGGTTTCGAAAATTTAAAAAGATATTTTGAGGATGAGAATTTCTGCGAAATGGTTATTTGCATTGCAGAATGCTCAATATTATTGATAGTAAGATGTGGGATATGAATGAAAGGCACACATGGCGAATACAATAGAGATGAATCATGAGTCGAAGAAGTTCTTATAGGTTGATAGCATGTACGATAATTGGATATCACAACGATTGACTGTTTATGGTGAAAACAAAAAAAAAAGAATCCCAAAAATAAATATAAAATAGAATTTTAAAAATATAACCAATAACAAGACAAAGCTAAAACCATACTTCTTACTTCAGTCACAGCATCGATTAAGTCATAGTTTTCATAAGGTTTCCCACCATATTCCGTAAACCCTCCATCAGCCGTAGATACAAACAATTTTATGGCGTCGGTTTTTAATGAAAATTCCACGGTTTCTCCTGGGAACAAGAGGAGTTCAGGTGGTAAAGATAATTTTGCAAGTTCTTTGTCAAATATCATTTTTTTTTCTTTTGGTTGAAGGGTCAATCTTTAGGGAACCAAGTAGAGGAAAAACTTTTTTTTTTTTGGAAACTTCCTCACAGTTTATCCGATTCAACTGTTGCAGGCAAAAAAATTTTTAGTTTCACGAGAAAATACTATGTAAAAATGCCCGATATGACGTCTAAAAAGAGAGAGGGTTTCTATGGATTTTTTTTTCCTGTGAGGAAGTTTTAAAGTTTTTCCTCGGAGTATATATGATGTCTACGATCTGCACATAAATAAACAAATTACCTAACACTAACGTTAAGTATTGTACTATCGCTATAATTTCCCTTTTTAATATTTTATTATGCGCATAAAATTTGACAGAATGATCTATTTCATTTATGTAAAACAAATACATGATTAAAGTTTTGAAATCCTAACTTTGTTTTTGTCGTTATACATTATACTAGTTCCAACTTTTCTGCAAAATACATACTGGTTTCTTCCTTAGAATATAGCACTAGAACGCTTTTTGTCTTTGGATTTCCAAAATGTTTAACACCTTTGAGGGAAATGTTAAACCGAGACGACAAATTAATCTTGGAGGGCAGAGAAGCCAAGAAGATAAGAAACTATTATTGAAAAGAACCCAAGAACAACGTAAAGCAAGAGAAGCGGAACGATTGAGAAATAAATCGGCAAATAAGATTCAGGTATTATACAAACTACTTATTTTGATATTATTCATTTTTGATACCTTTCATTGAAATATCCTTTTTTGGGAAATCATTGATATAGGCGTTTTATCGTGGTCGAAAAGTGGCTAGTGATATACGTCAAATAGAACGTGTTCATTGGGACCATCATGCTCAAGTGTTTTTCAATAATCTGGAAGAAACGAATGCTGAAACGGCATATGAATTAATAAATTTAATACGGAGCTTTCTTTTCTTTTATCGGCCTCATCTCGATAATCAGCGCGAATTCTGTTTGTGTCAAATATTAAATCAATATCGAAAAGGTACATTTCTAAGAAGAGATCATCTAATCAGCAGGTTTCATGCATAGGGATTGCTTTAAATGACTTTCCTTTTTTTTACTTAGGCTCGCAAACATTATTTTTGCCTTTTTTTAGTGATGAATTACGTGAAATTTGGACTTTTCAATTAAAGCAAACTTTATTGATTTTCCTAAGGAGTATTGGATCCAGGTAACTACCAAATGAAATTAATAAGACAGTTACATATCTACAAATGATCAAAATTTTAAATGACATTTTTTTTATCCTTAAAGTCATAACCTCGATCAAATTAGGATAAAAGAATATTTAATAATCTTGCGATCTGCGATTGACATTTCAAAATACGAACAAATAACTGGCATTATAGAGGGCAGGTAAGTAAGCTCTTTAGTTATCCAAGTTATTACAGTAGTATTACTTGACCATTTGGCCAGCCAAAATTTTATGTCCAATCATTGGCTAATTGACTGGTTGTTTTCGGCTAAATCGGCAATATTGGTCGCGGCCAGATGTCAGCAGTGGTTACTTTATGCATTATATAACAACTTATTAATTATTATTTTTTGATTGTGACGATTATAGTAAAACAGTTAAAACGATTATGAGGCATCTAGTATCAAATGGCTTATATCAAGGATTTAGGAAACAGATAATTACTATGGTAAAAAAAATATAGATTCATCTCATTTGCTTGTTGAAAATCTCAATGTTTTTAACTATGATCATTTTATCAGCCCCTAGATGAATCAAACTCTTTATCTAGAAATCTCATTGCTGATCTTTTGATGATTCCAATCAAAAGTGAAATAAGGGGAATAGCTTTGCCAGAATTTATAAAACAAATATTCACAATACCTCTATTGCCAAAGTATATCACCATAACGAATATGCCGATTGAAATTATATTGTCAAATATAGCCAATATGCCTATTGAGCTCTTCAAAATTGAAGAGATTAGCTCCTTACTAGGAAATTTGTTAATCTATGCATTTCCGAAAATGGGCTCTTTTAAGAAATCAATTTTGGTGAGATCAAATATCAACGTAAACATTTCATTTATAAAAATCAGATTCACTTGAATGACGTTTCTTCACTTACATGCGCAGTTAGCCTACCTAAAGGTGCTACAAAATTTATCTTCGATTATCCCTGTCCATCTCTTGACTGAAAAATACTCGTTAAATTCAAGTGGTATATGACACATGATAATTCCTAAAAATATCACTGAAGATTCGCTCTAACTCCTAACTTTATATTGTTATTATTTAAGGCATGATAATAGACGAGGATGAAGATGAAGAGGATTTAGATGTGTCAAGGGTCAAGGGTTCATCTTCGAGAGAAATCATTATTGATCAACAAGTTTTGCAGACGATTGAAAAACTATTTGACCAAAAACACTTGTCTTTGATTTTCTTATTTGCCACTAAAGCGGATACAGACTCTCTTTTAAAAGTTGCAAATTTCTTGGTTACATTGATGATTAAATGGCCTTCCCGCAAAGATGAATTATTGAAAGCCATGATACATGGACATACACTTAAATGGAAAGGAAGATCAGCTGCCAATGAAATTTGGCAGGAATTCAGGTCAACAGAATTATCACAAAAAGTAAAAGCACAACTTTTCTCGAGCAGCATCATTACCGGTATAATGTCTCGTTTGCGTCATGATGTTCTTGCAATGGGATGAAATTAATACGTTATTTTCAATTTTAAGATCAGGCATTCGCTGAACAATGGGGTTTACTTGTATTGCTATGCGAGCTTTTAAATAGGATTTTACTTGTAACAGGCGATGATGAATTTTTTCAAGAAGAAAAAAATCCTCTCATGATGAAAGACATTATTGAAATGTCTATATATCTAAGGGTATATAATTCATATATTCTATTTTATTTGGTATAAAATATTAAAGCTTGTTTTATATCATTATCTAGAATGTTTCTTTCAATTTGTACTGGAATTATACATCTTTAAAAATGGATGCTACACTTGAAGGTAGCTGCATTACCTTACACTACTTGAGGGATGCAGTCACAAGAACGCTTCGACACATTCATGCGAGAGAGTATGCAATCATATCGGTGGTGTTGTACGTATTTATAAAGCATTAATAAAATGTGGTTTATTTATCTTATTAATAGCTCTCGACGACGATTTACTCCACCAGATCATTGGTTGATGACATCTGAATTCGATATGACAGCTTTTATAAAAGCTGTAGTACTGGAAGAACAAGATTTGGAATCGGATGACACGAATATTAAACTCGAAAAGCGAAGTAACATTGCCACGAGTCCGCGCCTTGAGATTTTAAGCAATATCCCATTTGTAATACCATTCGAGGAACGTGTAAAAATATTCAGAAAGTTTATCGAAAATGATCGGGAACGGTCAGTGCCAATTCTGTGGGTTGTATACAGAAACGCAAATAATAATGATCTCGCATACTTTACAATAGTATTAAACGTATTCATTACATTTTTTAGAAATTATCATAATGACTTTTTCTTGGATAGGCGTACACGTGCTACTATTCGTCGCACTCATGTTTTCGAGGATGGATTTACTCATTTAAATGCCCTCGGTAAGGAACTTAAGCGACCGGTGGCCATAAGCTTTATTGATGAATATGGACTTCCGGAGGCAGGCATCGATGGTGGTGGTTTATTCAAAGAATTTTTGACAGCGTAAGTGAGAATTGTTCATTTTACTTATTAATATGTGTTCTAATACTTTAAATTACTATTATTTTTTTTAATGCAGGTTAACTCGTCAAGCTTTCGATGTAAATTATGGGCTATTTCTGAACACCAAAGATAATCTACTATATCCAAATCCACATGCATACGCTCGACAAGGTACATATAATACATTTTTCTCTTTGTTTATTTGCTCTTTACGATTTGTAATCTTTTTATTCTTTTTTTTCTATTTAGAGCAGCAACTTAACTATTATGCATTTCTTGGTCGAATATTGGGTAAAGCTTTATACGAGGGCATGTTAGTAGATGCAGCCTTTGCTGGATTTTTCTTGAGTAAATGGCTTGGAAGATTATCATATTGTAAGTTAGTTAATTCAACCAATATTTTTTTCGATTTAATAAATATATTCTCAAATTACTATTAATCATTTTTCAATTAGTGGATGATTTACCGTCTCTTGATCCTGATTTATATCAAGGGTTGATATTCTTGAAAAATTATAAAGGGAATGTGGAAGACCTTGCGCTAAATTTCACTGTCGTTGACAAAGGTAGCTTTTATAGACTATCATTATGCTTAACATTGGAGCTGTTAATGTTTTATAAAATTCATTTTATTTTTTTTATTTTAATCTATAGAATTTGATGAGTCTCGAGCTATTGAACTCATTCCCCGTGGCAGTGAAACTCCAGTGACAGAAGAAAATCGGCTTGCTTATATTTTCAGAATGGCGAATTACCGTCTAAATACTCAAATCTCGTGGCAATGCAAAGCATTCTTTAATGGTTTAAAGGATTTGATTGACGAAAAATGGCTACAAATGTTTAATCAGGTGCGACTTCGAATTTTCTTTGTTCGTCTGGATAAATTCAATTAAAATAAAATTTTACATACACAGCAAGAACTTCAAATTCTTATTGGTGGCACATCGGCCCCGATTGACGTAGATGACCTTCGTGAGAATACAGTCTACGCTGGTTATTCAGCGAACGATCTTGTCATTCAAAATTTCTGGACTGTTATCAAAAGCTTCACTGAAGAGCAACGACGAAAATTAATAAAATTTGTTACATCGTGTTCACGACCGCCGTTGCTTGGATTTAAACAACTGAATCCAAAGTTTAGCATACGAAATGCGGGACACGAGCCTCGGTTACCTACATCAAGCACTTGTGTAAATTTATTAAAGTTGCCGGCTTATCCGGATCTGAAAACTATGAAAGAGTAAATATTTATTTTGCTAAATTTTCTTATTGGACTAAATGTTGGCTAATGAAAATTTCTATTTTACTTTTTAAAGGAAATTGGAATATGCGATCAGTGTGGATGTTGGGTTTGGACTATCTTAAGAAATTATTATAATTACTGGAATATAACAGAAAGCGTTTTATTAGTTTAAACTTTCTGTTTATGGTAAATGCAAAATCTTCTATTACAGTCCTTGATTTACATTTTTAGATTTTGCGTGATCCAAAATATTATTTATTAAATGCAATTTATCATTGTTAAGTCGCAGCTTCTGAGTCTAAATTCTACTTTTTTGATCAAAATAAAGTCATAAGGGTGCAACACATGACGTAGAAGTTTACATAGTCGACTCTGGATATAAGAGAACTTGGTTCGTTTTAAAAAGCATAGTAACTTTATAAGACGAATTTTTTTTTAGCAGATCACTATACTATATCTAAATTTATATGATAAAAATGACCGATCAGGTGATTAATAACACAGGCAAAACTGGACCATTTCAGAAATGGTCTAATCATTCATTTCACATGATATGCATAAGTTCGACTTCGGACCGACTCATTATACTGGAGTTGAGTCGGGCCGGACAGGACTTTTTAACATTCTTAATTGCCGAACTCAATATTTGGTGATCTGATTTCTTGATGTCTAGTAATTCGATTTAAACAAAAATGCTATATACCATTTGATTCGTCTTAACTAGACATAACATTGAGAACATTGAGATATTGTTAAAAATTAGTCAGTCACTTTATCCTGACAAAATATGATAAAGTGGCTGATTCACTTTTGATGATGTCGATTCAATACGGCGAAAATTCTTGGGTATGATGCCACATGAAGATAACCAATAAATTGCGATTTCGGTTATAATGTGCAGTATTAAAATTTTTATTATTAAAAAATGAATCATGTGATAAGTAATACGTAACATGATTGGTGAGATATTTAATATTATGAAAATGAAAATCCTTTTATATCTTTTTTTATTGCTCATTATTTATGACCTTTTTTTAGAAAGGTTGTATCGTTATTATCAATTCATTTGAGATTCTATACCAGTCGGAATTATTTATTCCGACTGCGTCATTGTTTTCTTTGTGTGACCTTGAAGAGGAAAATTCTATTACGTTAGTATTACAAGTTGTGTTACAAAACGAGCAAAATTAAAATTTCATTCCTACATAAGTTCATAATAGGAAACATTTATTATTTTAAAAAACATTAAAAAGTTATCATTCTTTCCTTTTGATTTTCGCGTCTCTATAATATTCAATCAATCACTTTCTTCTTCTCCCAAAGCTAAATTCCAACACATTAACCTTGATAAAACTTTTATAAAAACATGAGTACAGCGACTGCACTTCAACAGCAACAAAAAGACCCGCGAACTGGTCACATTGGTAATTTAACACCTGATCAAGAAGAACTTTTGAGAAAGTTTTGGGCAAAACTACTAGAAGTACTTGATAGAGAAACACCTTCAGTTTCCAATGAAGTAGAAAGCAATGGTGAAGTGCAGAACAATGAATCTACCGACTCTTTACCCAAGAAACAAACGAGGGTTGGTTCTTTTTTACGTGGTGGCAATGCTAATAAGAAACCCTCGAACTCGGAGGGTGAAAAACCGACAAAAGTCAAGAAATCAAAGGAGGATGACAAATATAATGAATCAGAGGAACTTACTGCCGCATTAGAATTATTCGCTCCACAACAGTTACGGAGCGAATCGTGGAGACTTAATGCTGCTGATGATCCAGATTTAATTTTACTTCGATTTCTTCGTGCGCGTAAATGGGACGTGAATAAAGCATTAGCAATGTTAATGTCGACGTTGAAGTGGAGTCTTCAGACAGATGTGAGAGGTATCGTGAAGGGTGGTGAATCTGGACTAGAACAGTATTTTGCCGAGAAAAATTCACCCGGATTTCGTATTCAATTGGAAAGCGGGAAGAGTTTCTGTCGAGGTTTTGATAAAGAGGGAAGACCTATTACGTATGTGTATTTATTAATGTAATTGATGATGCTATAGTTTTTATTTGATCGAATTTAATTATAATAATATTTAGTTATATAAATGTGCGACGTCACAAAAAGGATGAACAGAATCTGGAAGTGTTGCAACGCTTTACCATCTGGGTGATGGAAACATGTCGATTAATGATTATTCCACCTGTCGAGACTGCATGTATTGTTTTCAACATGACAGATTTCAATCTGGCGAATATGGTAAATATCTTTTAAATTTTATGGCGAATTTATTTCGTGGGATAAAATTAACTAAAAAAGAGATTACTAGGATCTTCAATATATGAAATTTATGATTCAATGCTTTGAAGCATACTACCCCGAAAGTCTTGGAATTTGCATTGTGCACAAGGCACCATGGGTATTTCAAGGAGTCTGGAAAGTGATATCACCATTATTAGACCCGGTTGTCGCCTCAAAAATACGATTCACCAGCCAGGACAAAGACTTGTTAGAATATATTCCGGCAAATCATCTAATCTCAAGTCTTGGCGGTGAAGACGCATGGGAATACACTTATATTCCACCGCGCGAGGGAGAAAATGATCGTATGAAAGATGAAAAAACGAAACAAGAGAAAATACGCATTCGTCAAGAATTAGAGGTTAAATTTGAGGAATTAACAAAGAATTGGATCGCTGACTCTTCAAATGAACAAATAAAGAAGGAACGAAATGAATTAAAAGGAAAACTTCGGCAAGCCCAGTGGGAGTTGGATCCTTATATTCGTGCTCGTACTTATTATCATCGAATTGGTGTATTGCGTGAGGATGGATCTTGTATTTGGGAATAATTAATTGTTCATTAGTTTATTCATTCTATAGATAAATTCTTACATGATAAAGTATTTTTATCCAATATAAATAGAATGATCTTCTCCTCATTAATTGATAATATTTTGTTCAAACTTTAGTTATTATTTATATAGTTAACAGAATGAATATACAGAACAAAAAAAAGTTTCCGAATTTCCCATATACATAAAAAGAGTGATAAGAATTTACAAAGGAATTATTTATTGAAAGAGAAAAAAAGAAAGAAAACGGTACTACAATAGAAACGATCAATGTTAATTTCATCAATTTTTCGTGATTCACACTTAAAAATGGGAAATGAATTATTTAAAAAGAAATGAATTATTTAGAATTTACTTGCTTAAAAAAGGAATGAAATATTTATTTTTTAAAAATCTTGGTAGATATTAAAAATCGTATATAAATTTCAACATATATATATATATATATATATATATATATATATATATATTGATGCAAAATAATAAGCAAGTATTACTACTTTAGAAAGCAAATTCCTCTCCTACTGTAATTCTCCAAAAAAAGGGAGAAATAATAAAATAATTTTTCGCATTGAAGGAAAAAAATAGTCTTTGATTGCAGCAACAAAACATGATGGCTATAAATGAATACATCAATCGATCAATTATTTAATTATTGCTGAATAATTTCTGATCGAACACGATCCTCTTTTTCTCTGATATACTGTCGCAACAAATCTTCCAGTTTGTTATCCTGCTGATCCAATGCGATTTGCGTGGCTTTTCTTGCCAACTCCCAGATCCATAATTTTGCCGCGTCGTTATCAGCACTTTTCTCGGTACCTCCTTTAATCCTTTGAACTGCATTGGCGACATCACGTGCAGGCAATTGATGATTTGGATATTTTGCTTTCAGTAGTTGACGTTGCGTAGTGACACCAAGATTACCATGTCGTGTATAGAATTCTATATCTTCGAGTACCGCTTTTGGGAGAGTTCTGTTTTTTGTGGTTGATGTTGTGGACGCCGCTTCCACTACACTTCGAGATCTTGGTGACGTGTTATGAGGTATATGATTGTAATTAAGGTTATTAGTGTTGCTATTGTTGTTGTTATTGTTATTATTGTTATTGATGATATTATTTATGTTATTTGTAATCGTTGATGCGTTATTTATTGTGGAAGTCGCTGTTGTTACCATTTGATATTTCGTATCATGAGGTATATTGGATGTGTTATTATTGGTGGATGAAGATGAAGTCGTAATGGAATTGCCGCTATTACGAATATCATTGAGAGAACGATGAAGATAGTGGAGCTCATGATTGTGTTCATTAACAAACGTAGTAACCGTTATATGTGCACTAGTTTTAGGAAAAGAAAGATTAATATGCCAATTGCATTGAATACGTTTCGATGTTCGATTACGTTGTTCATGAAGCGCCGCTTTCTTTTTCGGTGTATATCTTCCTCCATGCTCACAATCATACGTTCGTTTTCGCACGATTCCCAGTTCGTCACGTTCAACCCGTTTCTTCCTCACAACAAATCCTTGTTCCCGCCCATACTGATCAAGAAATTCATCAACGTTTTCCCAATTTTGAAAAATTGAGCCGACCGCAAGCTGCATACTAACCGGAGGAACAAGTGTTTGTGTTTGTTGGTGTTGTTGGACCGACGGTTCAGATTCTACTATTGCTATGCTACCCGTAGTAAAGGGATTATTGGTGACGCCATTTTGTTGGTGTTGAGGAGGAATATTCAGCAATTGTGTGACATGGGGATTGCTTCCGTCAAAATTCATTTTTTCTAACATGCACACGCACTCTTTTTAATGTTCTTGGTTTATTTATGCTCTTGCATGTGCACACGCTTTAGTAGCCACTCTTCACTATTTCTTGCGTTAACAAAATAATCAATATTTTCTTTTCGGACTTTTATTATCACAACATCTCGATAACTCAATTATTCAAAAGATTCCGTATATTCGAATTTATAAAATCACATGATCAACAAAAATTACATGTTTAAAATGCAATTAGTAGTCTACGGAATAACGCTAAGGTTGTTCAAATACCCCCCGGAAAATAATCACGTGATTCACTACGACTGTCCCGTAGGCTTTCGATATTTAAATCAGAAAATTATGATCTAAATGATCAATTAAAAAAAAGTTTTATCGGTAACTCCCCGAAAAAGGAAGCAGTCATTTGAATTTCTTATTATCACATAAAGAATCCTTTCGACATGATTATCTACAAAGATGTTATAAATGGTAAGCTTTATGAGAGTTCTTTTTCGAGTTGAGAGAAATGTTATCAACGACTGTTTCTTGAAACAATATTTTGCAGGAGAGGAAATAGTCTCTGACGCTTACAATCTTAAAGAAGTCGATGACTTTGCTTACGAAGCCGATGGCAGGGTAAAAGATAACAATATACTCAGAAATTTACTTTTGCTCATTACTCGCATACAATACGAGGAAATAGTCCTTGATGATAATAAATTAATTTCCTCAATAGCTTATCACAGTCAAAGCCGGCGCAGACGTTGATATTGGTGCAAATCCATCAGCAGAAGAGCAAGAAGAAGCTCTCGAAGAAGGATCAACCCAAGTTATCGACATAGTTCACGCATTCCGTCTCCAATCAGCCACCTTTGATAAAAAATCCTACATGTCCCATATCAAAGTTTATATGAAAAAAATCAAAGAACATCTTACAAAGGCTAATCCGGATCGAGTACCGATTTTTGAGAAACAAGCAGCGACTTTTGTTAAAAAGGTTATTGGCTCAATCGGAGGTGTGTGATCTGTGTGTCGATAGCGGCTGCTTACATTCTAGTGATAATAATTTCGATTCTTTTTTTATTAGATTACGACTTTTATGTTCCTTCAGGTTTTTATAATCATGACACAGAAGGAATGGTTATATTGGTGAACTATCGTGAAGATGGTATTACTCCTTATTTTACTTTCTTCAAAGATGGGCTCTTGGAAGAAAAAGTGGTACGTCATCGTATTTTGATTTAATAAATCTTTTTCTTTTTTAACTTTTACTTACTTGCCCTCCTTATCCCATCCTCTATTTCAAATCATTAGTAACTACTGAAATCGTCAAAGCTATAACAATAATTCAGACGTCATAACCGCTACCATAATAAAGTATTTATTGAAATGGTTTTTTTTTGTTTTAATACCTGCGTGTGTACATTTTATTATTTCGTTTAGATGAATATATGCATTATTGTTAATTCATAAAGAAAAAAATGATATCTATATTTGGTTTATCAATTATTATAATTTGTTCTTTTGCTTGCATCCTTCACTCAACATAAAAAATACGGAAAATAACCTGGTTTTAAAATTCATCCATCATTCTTTTGGCATTGATGCGGTGGATGAAAACTACAACAAAAAATACAAGTATTTTCCAAGATAAAAAGTTTTTGACAATCTTCTCAACTCACTAGCGTTATATAGTTTTTGCTGGTGCTCGTTCATTGTCAAACATATATTTATTTGAAACTAATAAACATAATAAAGATAAATTCGAAAATCCCATAAAAAATTAAAATATACACTAATACTATTTGTTTATTTATTGCTCAATTAATACTAAATATTATTATCTTCTACACACAATTACGAATACTCCTTATTTTCCAATTTTCTTAGCATCAATTTCAAACTTTTGCCGTTCCTTTCGCAATTCATAACAAGATATCCTTCAAGTTCTCGACGAATATCTCGCAACTCATTAGTTATTGGTAGTTGACTATCGGAACGAACATATGAAGGATTCAATAGCATATCGAACATTCGTCGCCAAAGGTCTTGCCAGTACCGTTTGAATGGAAGTAATGGCATATATCGTTTTCTTGTAATACTTTCGTCAACACATGTAGTTTGCATAAATTTGTGATGTAACATACAATATATAATTCCAGCTAGACCATAATAATCAGCATGCCATTTCCATGGTTTGCCGACTCGCATCTCATAGCAATCTTGTTCGCTTGTTTCCCAATCACATATAAATTTTGTCTCCTCAGAGAACAAAGTTAAATCAATAGCCCTTCCGAAATCGATAATCTTTACTCCTTTTTTAGACCACCCATTCGACCCAGTCGGTGAATATTGTGAATCCCATTCTTCTGTCGGTTCTAATCGAACGAGTAAATTGTCCGCTTTCAAATCGCCATGTATTATGCCAGCTGCGTGCATCGCTTCAATTGCTTTGAGCAACTCTACCGTAAAGAAACCCACTAGTAGTTCATCCATGGAGGTGTTTTCCTTTGTTGCTGCATTTACCACATCCAAGATTGTACCATGTTCAAGATATTCCATTATCAAGTAACTTTCGTCTTTAAAGAGATAAAGGGCGGAAACGGAAATAAACGAATTGATTGTGGATGCAGAAACACGTTGATGTACTTGACGAAGGATGTAAAATTCCCATGCGTCCGGAGGTTTTTGTAATTTTAATGCTCGAAAAATTGATTTGTCGTTACAATTGGAACTTCGATGAATTTCATTCCCGATAATTTTATTGAGACGCTTTTTGTCTACAATGCAATAAACTTTTGCAAATCCACCTTCTCCAAGCTTTTGTCGAATTTCGAATGTATCATCAAGTAAGTTTAAAGTGTAATCCGAATCTATCGACACATTATGGCGTTTTCGGCTATTATTTATCCAATTCATAGCGCAATTATTTACTTTTTCGGATCCACTAAATTCTGTCAACTTATGATCGTAAAATCCTTCATAACTGCTTAATGGTGGATTAAGTTCCGAAAAAAATTTATCGCGAATTTCGGGGTCCATTGGATTACATAAATTCCCAGGTAAAGAATTAAACGCCTGAAAGTGTAATATGGGCTGATTTGATTTTGAAGATAATGGGATGACTTTTTTTTGAGTTTTATGCCCAAAAGTGTCATCGAGCTCACCAGTACTCTCATTAGACTCTAATTAAATATTTAAAACAACAGTTCGGTTAACAAGATGCAAAAAGACCATCTATATTATTTGTCATAACATACTCACCAGTAGCCTTGAACGACGTTGCTGAGGAAAGACTGGCCTTCCCAGATTCATATTCCGAATTACGTTCATCAATTGGAGTCAATATTTCGAATGGAACAGTCCGTATATCTCCTCGATGGTTCGAATATTGATTACGTAAGATAATCGAGTTTGATTCTCCACATGAATTATTTTCAAGTTCATTATTTAAACTTTGTGAATTCTCGATATCAGTTTCTTTATGAACACAGTCTAAAGGAAAAAGAATTCCTAAGGCCTGTCTTTTAGCGGATGCCTGACTATTAAAAGAATTTTCAAAAAGATCAAAATTTTCGTCATGAGATCCTTTTCGTTTCTGGCCAGCAAAAATTCCACTAGTGTTATATGAAGAGGATGGGGTTTGCAAAAGAGAATTCTCATCATAAAATATTGTCGGTTTATTTTCACGTTTAGCTCTTGATGAAGAGCTATAGTCCCCATTTTCGTCATCGCTGTCGCGTATGAGTGGCTGACTAAATATTTCGTATATATCCGCTAAAGCTTCTTTCGTATTTATCGTTGGGGAGGGTCGATTTGTTTCTTAATTTAGAAATAAAAATTATTTTCATAATATTATTAAATAATCAAAGTCAATATTAATTCTATCAAATATTCTTACTTTCTGATTCATCAAATTTTGCATCTTTTATCGGAGTTCTTTGACCGATATTAGAAGTTGGATTTTTTTCCACATCCGTGCAGTATTCGGACACGTTTGCATCAATCGAATGCTCCTCTTCTTCGACACTTTTATCACCCCATCCCAAATACTTTGCTCGAATCTCTTCGAAACAAAATTCTTCATCTCCAACATAGAATTGATCAAGATTTATAAAGAAATTTTCAGGCAATTGAATGTTGTTGGATTTAGCTTTACGAGTTTGCGATGAGGATGAAGCGGATTGTTTTCCTAATGTATGTGATGAATTTGTTTCTCTCGTCAATTTGTGCTCTTTTGACGTATCAGACTTATTCTCTGGCAATCTTCCGAAATCCTCAATAGGGCGCTCCGTTTCATTAAGTGATGCAAGTTGTGGCTAAATTCAAAATTGTGATAAATATCAGCATAATTAAGATAATATTAACTCATTTTATTATAAATGTAAAACAACCTCATCATGATAAATCTCGAGCTTTGCAGCTGGGATTACTGAACAATTCGATTTCTGAGATAATTTTTCGCCTTTCCATTTTAAAGGGTCATGGATATTTTCTTTCTTCCGAGATGCTTCTGTCCCATAATCTTTCCATTTATTTTCGGAAGCAGCTAAAGCAGCTGCCCCTATTCGACCATCAGGATCATAAAACACAGAGATTTTACCAGTGCTGGGAAGGTTGTCATCGATTGGGGTTGCGTGCTCTATCTTAAGTGTGTTTGCTGCTTCACGACTACTTGAAGAATTTCTTGCAAGCGCGACATTCAAGGGTGCAGACTTAGTAGATGATGCAGAACTTTTGATTCCTAGAATTTTCCTCTGTGGATTAATCAACTCTTTAGAAGCTGTTTGAGGGTTCTCATTTGGAATCGATGTCGTGGTCATCATTCTAATCTGGAAATCATTATAACGTCGATTCAACCTTTCAAGGGGTTGGGCATTCCGTCTTATACCCAACTTATATATCTCATCTGCTTCTTTATATCTTTATGAAAAATAAAAGTTACCAAACCATAACCGTCATCAACAAAAAAAAAAGGCATCATAAAACTTACTTTTGAGCTCTTTCCAATAGCGTGCCATATTCTTCGTAATAGACAGCGTAATTTGATCCAATATTTTTATTTTCCAAGAAGGCAAAAATTTCTCGTGGCTGTTCGACATATTTTGAATATTGTATCCAATATTTCAAATACCTAGCGTCATTTTTATAACGAACATCATCTTGAAAAAGCCTGGTAGCCGCTTCCAACAACTGTATCAAATTAGATTCATTATTGTGTCCTTCCGGATAATTTTGGATTGTCCATTCAATATAACGACTATACACGTCCAACGGGTCATCGAGCTCCCCAAGATTTTGTAGCTCTTGTGAAAATTGGTTGTGTCCTTCTTGAAGTTGCTCGTGACGTTTTGAAGGAGCTACAGAGAATAGTTGTGAGAGCGTTACCCCACTTCTACCTTGCTTCACTGGAATTATGTTTTCTTTTTGGTCTTCAAAGGAATAATTTGCAATGTTGGAAGACAATTTTAATTGATCGGAGGTTAACTGAGTGGTTTGTTCGGTCTCTTCTGGCATTTGCATAGTATGTTATGCTATTTGTGTTAGTGAAATATACAGTATCTAATTATTATGAATTTTTCGCGTACGCGTTTGTCAAATCAGATAAATAATGAAATCACATGTTTTAATGAATTACATAGTTCCACTTAACCATGACCGAACAAGAGGAAACTGTTACGAGTAAAGAACGTATTATTCCTTTTGATTTGTTGCCAGACGAAATATGGCTTCGCATTTTCTCAGAACTTCCTGTCTCAGCCCTATGTCGCTGTCGTAGAGTTTCCAAAAAGTGGAACAGTTTGTCGCATGATCAAAGCATCTGGCAATGCCTTTGTAAAAATATATTACCCGCTTCATTTCTCGCAAAGATAAAGCCAATTGTCACAGCTAAAGAAGAGGAAGCTTGTGAAAATGACAGTACTGCTACTGCCACGTTCGAAAAGAACAACAAACTAAGTAATAGTTTTAAGGATTGCACTAGTTGGGAAAATACTTACCGTGTTTACTCTAGCACCCAACAAAATTGGGCTACCTCAACTGCTGTGCGTGTTACTTCCGTCAAAGCACATGAACAAAGTATCAAAGTGTTAAAGTTAAAAGGTGATTTGGTGGTCACAGGAAGTAGCGATAATTATACACGAGTTTGGAGCGTACGCACAATGGAACGTCTCTTGGAGATTGATGTAGAGGCAGATGTAAATTCCATTGACTTTTTAGTAGAGAAGGATGTCATTGTGTGTGGATCTTATTACGGGTAACCTTTTCATTTATTTATTTATTTTCGTTTGACTTGTTGAATATATAATTTTAAATTATGATTGATGACTTTTCAAAAATTAAAAGTGAATTTGGGTGTAAATTATTTTCTTTTTCTCGCGGAAAATTTTTGGGCCAATTTATGGAAAATCATTGGGTTGGTACCCAATGTCTTAGTATGAATGAGGATTATATTGTATTAGGTGCACACAATGGCGATATTTATGTTATTGCTTGGTCTGAAGGCAGAAAAGTCGCAGTGTTTAATGAACATCGTAATCCTGTAAGGATTTTCTTTTTTATGTATTTATTGTCATTTTGTGATTCAAGATATTCACAATGATGTATTTTGCTAGGTGGCTGGAGTATGTTTGATTGGCGCAGACACGATATTATCTGTATCTACTAACGGTACTATAGACACTTTTAGTATAAAACAACATACACGTCTACATCAATATTCTATATCTAATGGAATGTCTGTGTGTATATCGGCCTTTGATGAATTTAGTGATGGTAGAAACGTAATGTGTGTCTCACCAACGGGCACTATAGTTCATCTTGTTTGGCCAAACAATGAAACAACCGAAACTGTCGATTCATCATCACAAGATTTTCAAATCATAGACACTGAATCCATTCATCGCATATTCTCTCAGGATCCAATAATTCATTATAGTAACACCGAAATATCTAATAGAATATTATGTGCCGCGATTGACGGTAATTTTAATCGTGGCGTGATTGGACAATGTCTCTCGTGGCCACCAAGAGGTAGTATACAAATATATGACTTTGAAAAGGGTCTTGGACGACTGGATGGGATTCAAAGACCGAACGCCGAAGATGATGCACTTGGCAGAGAACAAGGAAGCAATCCAGTTTTTACAACATTGGGAATGGACATTGAGAAAGTGGTTGCGGGATGTTCGCGTGGCTGGATGTATTGTTTTGAGCTTGTGGGCGAAGTGAACAAGTATAAAGAAGAATACATTAGAGAAAATCAATCAACATCGTCTTCTCCTTTGTTGAAAGAAATATGGGAAGAGATTTATTAACCTGTTAAAGTTAGATTTGTTTGAATTTTCGCTATTATTGTATTTTGATTAAAAGGTTGATTCATTTTGCTGTATACTTTATGCGTTAGAGTTGAATATGATTCCCCGGAAAATTTAAGCATATCTTTAAAAGAAGCCAATGAAACTTGCACATCATATATTAACACCTTGCAACATCCTCAAATGAACTTTTATCTTAATTAATTATTCAGGTGATATCCAATCTTTTTCTGAATTTTAATATTTTCAGTGCTTCGATTGATTCCACAATAAATTGCAAGGTATGATTTTTAGAGCTGCATTATCTACAAGAATGTCACGCGCATATAAGAGCGTTAAATGATAAACTTCTTCGCCATCCGTTGATAATAGTCCCAATGTTAATGGGCTCGGGCAATAAATACTACTTGCGATTTCAAACTGGCCCAGTCCAAGAATTTTGTATGAAAACGTTTACACAACTAACTGCTAAGCATAGTAATACAAGGATCTTCTGAGAATTCGTCGAAATAAAAGTTCGAACGCTTCCTATGACTGAAAATAGGCAATAAGAAACCTTTGGTTTTTGAAGAAATTACGATAAAATAAGTCCTGTAAATAAGAAACTTTCGACTTTTTGCATTATGCATTTATTACATTCTATAATTACATATCTCGGAAGCTACAAAAAAAACCTTCATATTACCAGTTTTTTACATTTCTGTGGGTAGACATGGATATTTTATGGATTTTATCAGTCACTATGCTAGTGTGCATTATTGCGGGACATCAAATCAAAAAGTCTCAAAAATAAGAAACTTCCTGATTTTTATTTTCAAAATGACGATTTTCGGGGTTGCCTATTTTCAGTCATATACGTGAACAACTACTAATCTTTGTGAAAAAGTGTAAAGTTCAAATTAAATTCTCTCGCACGTAATTCACAATTGTCACGTATTCCGCCATTGCTCCTACACCTATTGCAAAATTATTATTAGAGATTAAAAATTATAATCCAAAAAAAAAAGTTAAACAAGTAAAAGTTTACCTAAATCTCCACATGCCAATTTCTTACTAATCGGCGGAACAACAATATAACCCAACTCCTCAACAAGTACTTTCAAGTGTTTTGCGGTGAACGGGTGGTTCCACATGTTTGTATTCATCGCTGGACAAACGATTACTGGTTTAGTGAAGTCCCATGCACGAAGAACGCAAGTCTACGGTATATAAATTATAAAATTATAACAGGGCTAAAAGAAATGGCTCAAATCTAAGTTGATGGATGTAAGGTTACAATTAAGTTATCACATAACCCATTCGCTATTTTTGCCAATGTATTTGCATCAAGAGGTGCTAGGATAAATGCATCTGCCCAGTTTCTTAGCTATTTGATGACAAGAGAAGTAGATAAGTGATATATGGTCATTATTTCTTGAATAAAAATCAAAGATAGCCGAAGTAATATTTACTTCAATGTGCAATATTGGGTCAGATATTTTATTCCAATCCTACTTAATCATTATAAATAAGTTAATATTATGGAAAAAAGTAGATAGATTCAATCAAGACATGAATTTATGTGTGAATTTGATACCTTCCATTCATCTTGATCCGTAAAAACTTGTACTCCAGTTTCCAAATTCAAAGTATTTGGATCAAAAAAATGTGATGCATGTGTAGTGACGCATACTTTTATTGAGAGATTAGAGTCCAGCTATTTTAATGATAATTTCATTTGAATAAGGGAAAAGAAATTTACGGAATAGTCTGCATATTTGACTCATACCTCAAGCAAGCTTTTCACTAGTAGCGGTATTTTGATACTGGCAACACTTCCAGTCGCTCCAATAAGCAAATTTTTGATTTTTTTCTTTTCTCTTTCTTTGATATCTTTATCGTCACAAATCTCTATATAACTACCTTTGTCGATTATCGATAATGATTCTGCAGACATTTTCTTTCGTTTATCAGAAAGATGATGCATACAATATAAAAATTTATTAGATCAGTGGCCAATAATATCAGTGATTTTTTACACTCCTCCTGAATTTTTGATTTCTTGCCTGATCACTTTTTTTACTTTTTTTTTTTATAACTTATTCGCAAGAAAAAGAGATCCATAATGGCAACCGAACGTACTTACATTATGGTCAAAGTAAGTCAGTGTGAATTTTACATATATATATGAATGAGAGAATGTATTAGGTTTTTCGTACACTGCCTCTATTATTTTATTGCATCGGTTTAATGGAAATACATTTGATCGTCAAAAGAAAAATATCGATGAACTAATCTTTTAGTTTCTTTTTTAATGATAGCCAGATGGTGTTGAGCGAGGTCTTGTTGGTGAGATTATTAAACGTTTCGAGAATAAAGGTTATCAATTGTTGGCTCTTCAAATGATTAAAGTATATAATCTATACTCTTTCCGTTAGTAATGATCGATTTTTTTTAATATGACAATAGAACATATAATTCCTAATTAAGTTTATTCATTATATTATAATTAGCCAACCAAAGAACTTCTGGAAGAGCATTATACTGATCTCAAAGAGAAACCCTTTTTCCCGGGTCTCATTAAATGTGTGTATGCTTTTTGATCATCGAACTGACATCAGGAAATGGAATGGTTAATTAATTAATTGATCTGATCATATAGATATGTCAGCTGGTCCTGTTGTTGGAATGGTATGGATCGGAAAAGATATTGTGAAAGTCGGTCGTCGGCTTCTTGGTGAGACGAACCCGCTTGCATCGAATCCTGGCACTATTCGTGGTGACTTTGGAATTGATGGTATGTGTGTGAGGCTCCCTGTGTATATGACTATATTTATCTCATTATTAATTTATTAAATGTATCTGTTGGATAAATAGTCGGACGTAATCTCTGCCATGGGTAAGCATACTATTTATCAATATTCTAATCAATAAATTAAATAACTAAACAATAATATATTTTTATAATAGTTCCGATAGTCCAGATAACGCTGAAAGAGAAATTAGCTTATGGTTCCCTAATGGAGTAGTTCAATGGGATCGTGTTCATGTCCAAAAGTTAATTTACGAATAAAGAATGTTAGTATTGTTTTAGAAATAGAGAATTTTTTCAATCAAAGACCGAATAAATACATGATCGACAAATTATGCTTAACTGGATCGGGAATTACATGGCCCGATAACGCTAATTGTTGAATCATACAAGTACAAAAATGAACTTTAATCACATTCCCAATCAAAATAAACTCTATGTTATCAATGCACGAGAAAAATAGAATAATCACGAGCATATTGTTAAATGTGTCAAAAAGTTGGTTTCATTTCTCTCTGACAACATAGCGACAGAAAATAATATGACACAAAAAGATTTGGTAGAAGTTGTCGCAACATTCGCGATTATCGATGGTCATGCACATCCGTTGCTCACAAACCAGAACTGGCATACATATCCAATTGAAGCAGCATTCACCGAAGCAACGAATCCTGCCTTACAAGATTCCACACATACACTTTCCCTTAAAAGAGGGATAAAAAAATTGACTCAACTCTCTTCCAAACTATATGGTCCCGAGATTTCTTCACCCTCTTCTCAATTAGAATCCCTCAAAACTCAACGTGCGCAACACTCTTTTGAAGAATGCTGTGAAACGTGTTTCAAAGCACCTAACGTCAATATTCAGTGTATTTTATTTGATGACGGTTTGTACGGTGATTTTCAGTCGTTAGAGAGTCATGCTGGGTTGGTTGACCAGGTTAGACGTGTTGTGAGAATTGAACGCGTTGCCGAGGAAATTTTGGAAAACCTATCTTTAGGTCGTGAAGAAGATATTGATTTATCTCGATTTGGATCTTTGTTGCGAGAAAAACTTATCGAATTAGCGAAAGATGATAATGTGGTTGCATTTAAATCTATCGCTGCCTATCGTACTGGATTAAATATTAATGCCCATAAAGAAGAGAATCCCAAAATTGAGGATGCTCTGATTGAGATTCTCCAAAAATCTCGCAGCAACAAATCTCAACTTCAACCTGTTCGAATTGATGAAAAGGTGGTGATTGATTTCATTGTTAATATTGGAATAAAAATTGCTAGTGATTTTAAAAAACCGATTCAATTTCACACCGGTAATTAATAAAAATTCGATATTTTGTGTAACGTTAACGTGTTGGGGTCGTAATCGACAATATCTTTTGTATTAGGATTCGGCGATAATGATCTCGATCTCATTTATAGTAATCCACTTCATTTGAGAGCGTTAATCGAGAAAAATCCTGATGCGAAAATTGTACTTTTACATGCTTCGTATCCATATACGCGTCAAGCCGGATATCTTGCTTCGGTATTTTTTTATTTGTTATTCGGGTATCACTTATATAAAACTTGATCTCTGATAATGAATAATTTCTTTTTTAGGTATACAATAATGTATTTGTTGATATCGGGTGAATAAATGATAATGAGTTAATTTATGATCTTGGAATTACCAATTATTAATGTTAAAATATTTGATTTATTAGGATGATCTTTCCTCAGATCTCTCGTTATGCACAATTACAAACACTGCATGAAATTATCTCTCTCACTCCTACGAATAAGATATTGTTTTCTACTGGTAATTGTCATGTGAAATTTCTTGCCGATTTCCGATTTTTTACTTTTGGCTTTTAATTATTGTATTTCGATAGATGGACATCATGTGCCCGAAGTCTTTTATTGCGCTGTAGTTGATGCAAGAGACACCTTAACAAAAGTATATATAACCAATACATTATTGATTTAATCATTAATTGAGCTACTTTCTAATTGTCAATCAATCACTGATTTGATATTAGGTTTTAATAGAGACAATTGAAAACGGTGATCTCAGCAACGAAGAGGCGATTGAAATCGCAAAGAAAATATTGTAATTAATTATTTTTCATTTACATGGCTTATTTCCACATAATAACAATAATAGTAATGTTTGAAAGTTTGAATGATTATAATCAGATTCTTTAATGCGAATTCAGTTTATAATCTCTCGCTTACACCGAAATCATTAGAAACAACACTACCAATTTCAGACGCGGAAGTGAATCCTATTCAAGCGATAAGAAAATTCCGTGCTAATGGTATTATCAATTTATGCATCATTTTAAAAATTTAAGCATATGATATAAAATGAGTTCTTAGGTGCCAAATTTGTTCGAGTTGACTGGTTGGATATAAGTAACATCCACCGTCATCACGTAATACCAATCGAGAGATTCGAAAAACACACGATAAACTCAGGGGTATCAGTAGCAAAAGTTGTACAATGTCTTCCTTACTGTAACGACGCAATAATACCAAACTCATTAAACGCCACAGGAGAAATATTATTAAAACCCGACCTGAAAACACTTAAACAGACAGCATTTCCAGCCCAAATTAGAGCCCATTCATTTATGGTGGAAAAAATCACTGGTAGACCATTCGAACTATGTCCTAGATTGTTGTTGAAAAAAATTGTGGATGATGCGTATAAGGAGTTTGGAGTGAAATTTTTGATTGGCTTTGAATCTGAATTTTGTGTGATTAATACAAGTGAAGATGGTTCTTTTAAACCGATCGAAGATTCTGTGTATGCAGCGAGTTCTGCTATGCGCTGTCCTCTTTGGATTAGTTCTGCTCTTGAAGAGATTGCAGAGTCATTACTTGAACAAGATATTGAAGTCGAACAGGTAGATCAAAGATATTGCTTTTTATTATGATTATAAATAATCTTTATTTATTTCATTATTATTTTTTTTATTTAGTTTCATCCCGAGTCATGTAAAGGACAGGTTGGTAATCTTTAATAATGAAAAAGTTTTAGACACAGCTAAATTTTTAATCACTTCTATTATTCATAGTATGAAATGGTGACTGGGCCAGCGCCACCTTTAGAATCAATTGATAATCTAGTTTCGACCAGACAAACGATCTATGATATTATTGCTAAATATGGGCATCAGGCGACCTTCTTACCGAAACCTTTTCCTGATCAAGGTTGATATTTCTTTATGAATAAATTATTGTAGTAGAATTGCATCTATATTGACTCCTTTGATTTTCCATAGCCGGTAATGGGTCACATCTTCATTTATCCCTGACAACGGAAAACAAAGATTCGTCCAATAATGATAGATTATCAAAATACGAACAATCATTCATTGCGGGCACATTACGACATCTTCGTGCCCTTTGTGCCTTGACATTGCCCACACCAAATTCGTATCATCGTATAGTCAATGGATGTTGGGCCGGGTCTACTTATGTTTGTTATGGATATGAAAATCGGTTTGTATTTACATATTTTTTTGTATGTGTGTGCCCATTCTTTTTGATTTGTTTATTTAGTAATCGGTGATACATATAGAGAAACACAAATTCGCATTTGTTATCGTGGCGGATCATATAATTTTGAGCATCGATTTTTGGATGCGACTGCTAATCCTTACATTGTAAGTTTTTTTTTTGGTTAATTTTTATTTTCGTGCATAATTCTATTGCTCTTTATTGATAATTTAGGCTGCCGCTGCATTGATTGCCGCCGGTATAACTGGCATGAGGGAAGGATTGGATTTATCAAAGAACAAACCCATTGAAGGTAAATTATTCAATGGATCAGCAATTAAAATACACGTTTAAATACGATTTTCTAATTTTTTGCGATGTTCAAAATAGTCGACCCTGCAACTCTTTCCGACCAAGAACGACATGCTTATGGAATTACTGATCGAATACCTCTTTCTCTCCGTGAATCATTGAATGCATTTAAGAAAGACGAAGTTTTACAAGATGTTTTGGGAAAAGAATTTTCGAGGATTTATTTGACTGTGAAGGAGGTAAATTTTATACAATAATTTCTGGTGGGCTTTTTTTGGTTGTTATAACAAGATGTCGAGTTTATTGATAATTTGTATTTTTAATAGGGTGAACTTGCTTTTGCAGAAAATTTGAATTCTCAAGAGCTCATAAAAGTTTTGATTTCGAGATATTAGGTTTATTAATAGAAATCAAAATTTTTTATATTGTCCAAGTATTTTTTGGTGAATGATTTATTTAATTTTTATGATTATGTATATATTGTGCGATAATGGCCTATCATAATTTTTTCAATTGAGAAACTAAATTTTCATGAATTCATCTTTTTTTTTAGTGCACTGCTTTAGTAGGATGAGAATAGAAGAAAATAAAAAAATAATCTTTAAAACTACCTAAAATAATAAAAACAATGCACGAAGACTAAGAATAAAAAAGACCAGATGAGAATGTATATCTACAAGTAAAAGAAAACGGTTCAATTATCATCTTTTTCATTTTCATATATATTCTCCATCATAATTTTTCGCCAAACCAGTAAAAATAAATATTCCTTTAAAATGCATGCCATGATCATATGATGATTGATCAATGTTTGACTATTGTTCTCTTCTAAGGTCATCCTGATAATCAGTCTTCCGGTGTTTCGGGTCATTAATAAATTCCTTTTGAAGATTTATTGATCTTTCACCTTCTAAATCCATTTCCCAGTTTCTGTCATGTCTTTCCCGTTCATATCCAGTTTGTTTATGAGCCCCGAATTTATATTCGAGTTCGGAGTTGACACCACCACCACCTTCACGATGCCCTCGTTCAATGCTTTGTACTCTTACATCAGTTTCCGTATTCCAGAGGCGATAGCGTTCAGATTCTCGAGAATCCTGTTGCTGCTGCTGCTGCTTAGTAGTCAGTTCAACGTTCGAATCATTAACTTCTTTTTTGACATCATTCCAATATCGCGAATCTTGGTGCCCAGAATTAGAAGTAGGTTCATGTGCTTTTTCTGTATTTAGCTCATATGGAGGAACAGCAGGAGTACCACTTATACTGGCAACAACTGTACTAGTGCTTCCAATACTAGGCTCTGCATGAGTGTCTGTAATCTTTGAATCCCAGTGCCTGTTATCATTAGACCTCTCATCTTGCACATTAATATTGGGCTTGTAATTTTCAGATTCTATGGTGCTTTCATTAGTATCTAACGGTATTCTTTCTCTATCAGGCACCGTTTTCGATTGAGATGTGTTGTTGGGATTTATCGATGTATTAGTATGTAAGAATCGATTATGACTATTGTTACGATAATTATTAGATGATCGATAGATAGGATCATAATCCTGCTCACGGCGAGACTCTTGATAATAGTGATTATTATTATTTCGCGTCCCAGATCCTTCATATTTGTTATATCTACCTTTGTTATAAGGAGACGGCAGTGGCAACGGTCGCCTAGGCGACAATGACCTACGCAAAGGATAATTATTTCCACGAGGTGATAAAGATCTGCGCACATTATTAGAACGACGAGGTGAAATTGATCTCCTCACGGTACGAGACATCACTGAAGAAGAATAATAGTAATCATAAGGAACACGTTTACTAGCAGAATCCCTATACGCTACATTATTATTAGCAATTGGAGAAGCACGGTGATAATCCACTTCATAATCTCGATGATATCTTTCTCTCTCACGTAGATCATGGTCACGGGAACGTTCTCTCTCGATAGCTTCTCTTGCTTTATACTCGGTAATTCTGGGGAAATCTATGTGAGAAACGCGTCTTCTTTCGTTCTGTCTTCCATAATCATAATAAGGAGGACGAATAAATGCATGTTGTTTAGGATGTTCATGATATGGAACAGAAACACGTTCTGACTCCCTACCATAATCAGCATACCGTTCATTCTCACGCAAGCGTTGACGTTCCAAAAATTCACGTTGTCTGAGACGCTCTCTTTCTCTTTCACGCTCTCTCAATTTCTCTCTCTCTTTCTCACGTATCCATTCCCTTTCGCGTTCTCGTGCACGTTCATTCTCACGTTCCAGATGATCACGATTCCGAGTTCTATCAATATCTCTGCCTCGATTACCTTCAAATTCAATGATTCTTTGATCTCGCCCACGTCCTCGAAAATAATTAAATTCTCCTCGATGATCTGAATGGGAATCCCTGCTGAAACGAAATTTTTTTGAAGAATACCATGAAGTCGATAATTCATTATCATTACGATTTTCAGATAGCTTATGCGGGTGCTGCTGCTGTTGGGAAACTGAATCATTGTAATTTAGCGTTGCAACTGAATCAGAATTAGTTAGCATCAGTTGCTCGTTCTTTTTATCATGAATTTGATTCTCCCCTTTTGCTTCTATGAATTTCTCTGTACCTTCTTCAGGACGACCAACGAGTTCAGCTGCTATTTGGCCTGCAGATTCATTAAGTTGCTCAATACGAGACCCTTGCTCTTTGCTCTTATTATCTCGACCATCAGTATTCCTGTTGTCATGCGCAGATGATCCTCTTTGGGCATAATCACTCGGATAATCCTTTATACCAATATGATCTCCGACATATTCATCACGTGCAAGCTTATCCGTACTTATGACCTCTCTACTATTTCGAATATGCTCAAATTCATGGGCTCGCTCTTGATTATTCAAAAATTCCTCACGTTCATTTTCAGTATGACGTTCCCTGACAGAATATGATCCTCCTGAAACATGATGAACACGCTCTCGCATGTAATAACGTTCACGTGTATACTCATTAGAAGAGAAATAACGATCACGGTCATATTCACGATCATCCAAACCTCCTCTATACTTTAAAGATAGTTCACGATTATGATTATCCTCGATATAGTTTCGACTTCTACTATTATTATTATTATAAGTCGATGAAGTACGAGAATGTTCCTTTTCGCTGCTTCGATCCCTTATTGAAGACGATGATTCTTGAACATGTTCGTCTCCTCCTTGATGTCTTGATATAAGAGCAGCATGATCATCTTCATTACTATTCTGTAGTCTAGTAGCAGCTTCTCTTTCCAGGTTATCATCAATACTTCGATGTCGAGTAGGTGATGTTAATTCACGATGTTGACTTGAGCTCCAAGAATCACTATCTCTGTGTCTAGGTCTATATCTCACCTCTGCAAATTCGATACGAACAGAACGACCACCAATACTTTCATTTACCATTCCATTGACTGCCTTTGTGGCAGATTCCGCATCATAATAAGTCACAAATCCATAGCCTTTACTAAAGCCTGTATTTACGTATTATACAAATTTGTTTATTTTCATATGTAGATGAGGTTTTCAATTATTTAAAAAAACTTGCCATTTGATTTGTCTCGAACCACCACAGCTTCCCTGACTTCCCCAAACTCGGAGAATCTTCGTTTCAGATCATTATCGTTAACCTCCCAGGCAAGACTTCCAACAAACACACGTACATTTTCGTCCTCGGGCGGTGGAGTATCTGTAGCGATAGTACTATACACATGAGTAGGTGAGTCTTGTCTCCGTATCCTAGAAACCATCAAAATATTATTATCATTTTGTTCATTATCATTATTGCCGTTATTAGCTTCTTGCTCCTCTTTTGCTCGTTGTTCAACTTCAATAATGCTTTCGCTAGCAATAACATTGCCAGTGATAACATCAGACTGTGAGGGTCTGGCATCTTGGTCATCGAGATGTTGAGTAGAGTCTGTATCTTGGTTACTATGAAGGTATTTGTTATTATCCTCCTCCTGCTTTAACTGAATTTGTGCTTGTTGTTCCTCCATTATACCTTGTGATATTTACTCAAAAAAGAATAAATAATAAAGTGAAACAATAGACGTGCAACAAAGTTTTATGCCTCCCAAGAGAGGAGGCGTGTGTTTATTTTTTTTCATTTAACAATGCAATGATGTACATGTATAGCCAACTAGGTATGATCTCCATCATCAATGAAACAAATATTATCTAAATATGCAGAGAGGGCGTCGCTCATACGAAGATGATAATCTATGCGTTTTTTACTGCCAGCATAGCAGCTAACGCTATTCACATCACAGCAACAATTAAATAATGATCTTAAAAAAAAAAACAAAGGTTTAGATTTATAGATGTGCAAAGAAAGAATGCTTACCAGCACCCACACCTGATCCATCTTTCGCGAGTCCCAGATGAATATTATCAGCATCAGGTCCAAGTATTTCGTAAAGTGTAGATTTGAGTCGTTGGTCAAATTTTGGATAGAATTCGAATAACGACCCATCAATTCCAATGCTGCATTCAGTCTTGATCGCGTCTCGATGTGTAATCACGCTTGCTAACCCAGCAGCACTTAATCGTGCAGCACGAATTCCAACAAGCTGACAAATCCTCTTTGTGATTTGTCGATCGGTTAGAGAGGTTGAACCTATGTTCAAATGTTTCTCAAAGATCTCTTTGGTTTCATCAAGATTTGTACTTTGATCTGACTCAATTTTTGAGATCCAAGCTGTATCGAAACCCCATTGCTCGTTAATTTTTTTGAAAGTTGAGTGGCTAATTGGCACATCTTTAAATAAAAGATCACGATCAATAAGGTAAATAATAATGTTGCGCACGATCTCTCCAAGATACATTCCCGAGATGAGTTTCTCGAATAAGTAAGCACGAGGATTTATCGATTCACGGTCCAACTTATTATCAAACATGGTGATTGGAAGTACTTTACGCTAATTTAACATGAATAGAAAGGATAGTAACAACGAAGAATTATATAAGAAAAATCATTAACAAGACGAAACGACATACTCTACCTCGTTATCATAACCTCCCCACTCCATATTAACAATCATCTCTTCGGATTTGGATTTAAAAGTGCCCAACTTTTTAATATTTGATATTTTTTCGAAATACGCGCCGTTAGTACCAGTACCAAGAATCACACCAACTAAAGCATTTGGATATTTGTAAGCATGTGCCAATAATGTGCCAACAGTATCATTTATTAATGCAACGACACGAGCTGGGATTTGTTTCCTATTGAATGAATCTTGCATCATCTCAACGACATCTTTTCCGACGGCACCTTCCGCTTCAAATCCTTTGGTCCATTGTTTCAAAGTACCCTTATTGATAGCCGTTAGCTCCACAGGAAAAGAAAAAGTGAAGCCAAGATCTAATATTTCGTTTTTCTTTGCATACCCAATTTCTTGAAGGAATTTGCCGACGCAGTCAGCGATAAAATCAAACAATTCGGTCGCTTTTCCGGTTTTGAGTTCTTCCGCTACGCGATATTTTTGTTGTCCCACAATTCTCTCGTTGCCTTCTTTGAATTCTATTAGGCAAACACGAAAATTTGTGCCACCCAAATCCAATGCGAGAACAGTTCCAACTTCTTTACCGGTTGGTCTACCAATCACTAATTAAATAATAATAGCATGCATGATTCATCGAGATTAGAATACAAAATTGAAAACAAATTCCTACGATTTTTTTTTTGAGAACGATATTTGCCATTTCTATTTTTACATAACGTTTTCTATTACCCACCAAAGCTAGGAATCATTGCCAGAGTCTGACCAGATTTTTCCAAGCCTTTATGCATTTCACTAACATAATGCTGTATAATCTCAGTAATTTTTTGAGTGGATATTGTGAATTGCTGAGTTATAACTTCTAAGGCTGACGCCTGTTCTTGAGTGACATTTTCGAGGTTAAGAAGTTTAAAAGGATCTAAAGTCGCTGTCGCCATGTTTCCCCGTTAGAAATTGTATCTAGAGGAAACAGGGAAATTTTTATTGTCGCAGATTAAAATGAATCATTATTTTGTCACATTCTCTACATTTTTGGTTAACGTGTTTATTGAATCTGAAATCGAGCGTTTCTTATTGCACATTTGAAGAAATGTACCCAACGTTACCTCTTTCAAACATTATAAACTTCGCGAAAGTAAAACCCGATCTTCGTAAAAAGGCATTCGTCGCTTACAAGGACGTGAAACCCCGAATCAAATATTACCCAGGACCAACACGAGTGGTACTTCATTTACTCGCGGAACATGGTCCAATGACAGCGCGTCAGCTTCATGAAACCTATTTGCCACAATACCCACAACTAGGGACGATGAATTATTTTAAGGAAAATGTTTTGAAGCACTTGCTGGTACAGGAAAAAGTAGTCAAAAAGAAAATAATTCCTGAAAAGCCACTGAAACATTTTCAACCTAAAAAAACTCTTTCACGACCTGAAGCAATTATTGAAACGAGAATAGATAAAATTTTGTCTAATGAGAATAATATTACTACTTCTATTGATACTGTAGAACAAAAAGATCTACTAACCAAACCAACGCAGCAGGAATCACGACAAAGAAAGATTGTTGCGGTTAACAAACCCATCTGGGTGCTAAAATTAGGCAAAGACATTAATCCATCCAAACATTTGACTCCATTATCAGAAAATGGAATAGTTGGTCAAAAGAAAACGGCAAGTAAAAAGAGAAAAGAAAATAGAAAGAAAAAGCAACCGATTGATCCAGTGGTCGAAATATACATGGCAAAAAAATATGGTATATCCAAGAATAATAATAATAATAATAATAATAATGAAAAGAATGATGGTAATAAAGATGATGATAACGATAAAACTGATGGTAATAATAATAATAAAGTCGCAACGGAATTTGGATCTTCTGAAAAATATTCTGTTAGAACCGATTGGTAATATTATGGAAATGACTCCTTTTGAATTAATATATGCGCTACAAAAATGCGTTTATTTTATGCATATATGTGAAGAATTAAATCTTGAGTGCGATAATAATATTTTTGTAAATAAATAAATTCAAAAAAAAAGCTATTAATCATCGTAATCATCGTCGTCGTTTTTTTCCAAATTCTTCATCATATGCATGAATCAAATCTTCAAGTTTCGGACGAAAAGGCCATTCGTCAAATACTCTCGTCAACTCGCACACTTGGTCAACCGTCATTTTGCCAGCTGGAATTCTTTTGTTAAAGGACAGTTTTGGCAGTAGATTTTCTGCGCCGCATGCTAAACTTCTATAAATACGAGACAATTAAATCAATATACGAATAAATTGATATCATATTTTCGTAATATACACACAAACCTTATGCGTTGCTTCAACGGTTGCGTCGGTACATGATAAAGATTACTTAAGATATACTTGTACGTTTCATACATTGACGCTGTAGATTTAATTAGTATTTATTATTCAAAGATCGCTAGAAACCCAAAGTTCATCATTAATATTACGTTTAATTTTCGGTGTAACCAATGGCGTTAATCTAACAAGGGATAATTGATTGTTTTCTTTGGACTGGAAATGAGCAAAGGTTTTTTTATATTTATAAGAATAAGAACTAATATAACAATTCATTTAATTTTACCTTTGGAATAACAGCTTCTTGCGGCACCACCATTAATAGTTTAGTTTCCATAAACGCCTGAATGCACAAATTAAGTATCCTTCGTGATGTATCATCTTCGTCAGTAAATAATTTCTAAAAGAAAGAGAGGATGAATTATATATATATTTATTGGGAAATTCAAAAATTCATAGCTGATTTTTTTGAAACACTAACTTTGAATAAAGGATCGGGAAAAAGTAAATTCATTTCTACTCTTCCAAACGCGAAGAAACCCAATCGGGAAGTTAATGCTCGCAATAATAACGATAGCAAATAGTTATCAGATTTGGTTGGTAGAGGTATTTGACCTGTGAATATTAATGTTGGGTGTACTGGATAATACATACAATACAATATTTAGAATTAATTTAATGATGTATTTGAGTGTCTATCTCTCATCTTACTTACTTTCCTCCCAAGGATAAGTTGGTACAGTGCCATCATTCTCGAGTTTCTCCCCGATCTTCTGCAATGTTTTTTCTCGAGATACGTTGTCAATAGAAAAGTCTAGTCGCCCATTAAACTCATTTGATAATTCCTGGATATATTAAACACAGCTAATAAATATAGATTACTATTATTACTATTATACAGTAAATACGATGGATAATAATTCGAGAATTGTGTTAAGGTATCAAGCACTCACAGTTAGATAAGATTCACATTTGATCTCCGGTTCAAACGCATACACTTTTCGTATACTCGGCTTCATTGATTTTAAGAGCGCTTGGGTCAATAAGCCATATCCTTTTATATTTGAATATTGTACGTAATGCAATTATTCATCCAATTTATCTTTCTCTTCCCAATGTAAAGCCTAAGAAATACAGTAATTGACATATGCAAACCTGGATATACTTCTACAACGGTCAATGTATTATTCTTTTGTTCAGCTCTCATGATTTGCTTTACAACATTTTCTATTCGAAAAAGTATTAAAAAAAACACTATGAAAAATTAAAAAAAAATCGATTATCGGCACAAACCTGCATGATTCGCAACGGCTATACTAATTCGAGCTTTTGGCAGCTTAAAACTTTCTATCATTCTTGACGAAAAAGACATTGTTTCTTGATTTAAACATTGTACAAAATACGTATTTTGTATCAAAAAATTTATCTCGTTATTCATTATGATTCAATTTTACGCGTGACGTAATAAGGGATTAGCATAGCGATAGTACCCTAGCCATGGCGAAAAAAGTGACGGGTCATGTGATTTTTAAGGGGTAAACCAATAAAATCGCAAGATCAATGTGTAACGATAATAGTTGTTAATTATAATTAAGAATTGTAATTAGGATTATATTTCACGTAACTTTATAAAGCACTACTCTAAAACATTATAAAGCAAAATTTTGCAATATTTTTTATTAAAACAAAAAAAGGGATTTTATAGATAAAATTTCAAGATATTGTTACCATTTTAAGCTTATGCATATGTAAGTATTTTAAAATGATAATAGTGATTGTATTCATGATAATTATTTACTTTTATATAGCTTCAAGAGATTATATGACTAATTATCTTCTCAATAAGATAATATATACAAGATTTACTTCTGACAAAATATGATTATCTTCTCAATAAGATAATTTAGATGTGTTTTACTTCTAATAAAATATGATTATCTTCTCAATAAGATAATATACATAAATTTATTTCTTAATCAAAATGCTCTCTTAATAAAGCAAGAAGAAAATAAGATAAGATATAAGATAAAATATATGTGTTTATTAAAAGAAATATACTAATTGACTACTCTTAACTCAGTAGCTAATCCTTTCTACCAAACTTAATTATTCTTCTTGATCATTTCTTGATTCTCTATATATAATATTTTTCTTGCTATGCTAATTACAAATTATTTCTAACATAATGTTTCACTTAATTTACTCAAGAACAAGTAGAATTTGAAAAGAATAGTTATAAAGAATATTAAATACATAATAATAAAGAATTAAAATTAGCAAAATATTAAGTTATTCAAAGTTAAAGTGAGAAAAGAAAGAAAATAAATAATAATTAATTAGAAAATTATTAATTTAATAAAACTATAAATTAAGTATGACATATATGGAGAACTATTAAAGCGTTATACTCACGTGATATATATGACTAGTATCTATTTTGAATAGCAATTCATCACCGTAGTTGGAGATCCTGAGTGTGTAATATGTAATATAAATTGGAATATATAATACTATATGTAATGGTAATATATAAAGTATAATAAATATCAAACAATCTTTTTGACTCATCTGTACCTACAAAATTACTAATATCTTGAAAATATTATTATGCAATGTTAGTTAGGAGCTGTTTCTTTTAATACTGCTGGTGGCATGTTTTTGGTAATCAGAATTACAAAGTAATAAGCGTAATGTTGAATAAAGTAGAGCTTTTTTTTACTTTATTTTATCACTAATATTGTAATATTGAACAAAGTAATTTTTTTTTACTTTTTTTATTTATTACTAATGTTATTCACTTATAAATTTCTTTCTTATTATTCAATTCTCTGTTTTATTTCTTATTCACTATATAATTGTTTATTTACTTCTATTTTTTGGTATTTTTTATTTTTGGTATGTTACAATTTGAGCACGTATTAATCACGCATATATAAAAAATCAAAAATATATTTTCCAAAAACTAAAAACATATTTGATTACTTTATAATGAACTTGAAATGAACTTCACAACTTTAACACCTGATCAAAAACATGTTATTCTCTTTAATATTAATTAATCACTTAAAATCTTACTGCCTGAGTTTAATAATAAGTAGTGGTCTCTGGTTATGAATATATAAACTATATTCAACTACAAATACCATATTAATAGTGATTCATGAAAGACTTATATTTATTATTTCAACAAATATAAGTAATTGAGCACTCGAAAAGAAGGAATACCAAGTGAAAAATATCAAAAATCAATAATTTAGCTAGTAAATTTATGTTTCATAAAAATCAAAGTAACTCAATTTGTCGCTGAACAAAAATTATGAGTTGAATGATATAATGATTCTTCTAATCACATACATACTTTGAAAGATAGTGAAAGACTAAAATGATCACAGGCTATTCGTATCTTAGTTGAAAATGAAGCTATTAAGAATTATTTATTACCAGAAATTATGTGTGTTGTTAAAGAATATGCAACTGAAAAATTGGATCTTAATTCTAGTGTCAAAGAACTAAGATGAACAGAGATTGCTAATATAAAATATAAGACTAATCGAAATCAATCCTCCTATTTTATTGATAGCATTAATCTAGAATCCAATATAAATGAAGTGATTTCTTTACTAGCAAATAAAAAATATTTAATTAAACATTATCAAACCATTCAACAGTCTACTCAAGGTTTTGTTTTCGTAAATCTGGATCAATTTCAAAAGCTTCAAAAATATGGGTGACTAACACTTATTGATTCAACCTATAAAATCAACAAATATGATTAGCATTTATTTATATTGTATATTCGTGTTGGATATGGGTATTGGGATATGGGAGGACATTTTTTTGTAAGTAACAAAACTAGTAATACAGTAGCAGAAGCCTTAATAATAATTTGATAACTTGCTCACTGCTGGAAGCCTTGGTACTTCCTTGCAGACCAAAGTAATATAGAGATTAACAGTATCAAAATCATATTTCTGGGTATTCAAAAAGGTAAGCAAGAGTGTGATGTTCTCTTTTGCACTATCTATATTATGTGAACTTGAATAGGTAAGATCTATCATGTAAAAACATGAGATAAAATGAATCAAGCAATGTATAAATTAACAAAAATTACTTGCAAGGAGTCTATCCAACAAGCAATAAATAATTGTCTAGTTCTTACTATTTAGTAGTATATCCTAAGAAACTATGCACAAAATACATATCAGTGGGCTCTTTAGGCCCATCAATACTCTTCTCTTCTTTTACAGGTAACTTTAATAAATGTCTTGGAATCCTACTATAGTGAATTGAAACAAAGAATCTCTCTATATTATGATCTAGTTGGTGGGGTATAATTTTTTTATATTCTGATATTTGCATGCTATTTATCACTAATTCTAATAATTCTAATAATTTTTATTAGGTGCATGCCATCACATTATTTTACTTGATAAAAAGAAGTATTCAGATTCTGAGTATACCATCTTTAGATTTCATATTATGAAGATTTTTATTGATGATATTGACTGTGAAATTCTTGATGAAATTTATAAGTTTTCTTTTCCAATCCAATAAATAATTATTAGTGTGGTCTGTGTCATCGAAAAGAGAATAGAATATGGCAAAGTGGTATCTGGTTTAATATTACTCAAATGTCATTATCTATTCTTCTATAAGTATCACTTGCCCTGTCAACATATCTTTCATGAGCATATGTATAGAGCTAGGAAATTATTAATAACTGGTACTTGAAAAGATTTCTAGCAAATATTTGAAGGGCGTGAATTTGAGATATATGAGTATCATGACTTGGAAGAGATGGTGATATCTGACAAAACCAAATATGAGAGAGCTGCTGAAGATTAATGACAGACTGTAAATGAATTGATAGAAAGAATGAGAGATGCATACTGGTGAGTTGAGGAGGGAGGAATATTGAACAAATAATTTTATTTATGAAAAAATTAAAAGTTAGTTTGGAGTTAGTTTTAAATTAATTTATATTTTTATTATTTACGCAAAATAATATTAAGTGATTTTTTTAAAATAATATATTAATTT